GTCTCTTTCGCTTTCTTTCTCTCTCTCTCGCTCCGTCTCTCTCTTTCTACCTTCCTTCGCTCCGTAGGTGTGCGTCTGGACCGTGTCCGGGGAGGGCGGCAGAAATACAAGCGAAGGATTGACATTGAGAACAGCTCATATTTCAGTTTACAGCTGCCCCCAGCCAAAAAAACAGGTAACACGTTACTGTCTGTGTCGCTGTGAGTCACTGTGTCTGTGTGTCGCTGTGTATCTCTGTGTGTCACTGTGTGTGTGTCTATGTGCTGATGTGTCTGTGTGTCGCTGTGTGTCACTGTATCTCTGTGTCGCTGTCTCTATGTGTCGCTATGTCTTGATGTGTCGCTGTGTCTCTGCGTTGCTGTGTCTGTGTGTCGATGTGTCTATGTTGTTGTGTCTCTGTGTGTTGCTGTGTCTGTGGGTCTGTGTGTCTTTGTGTGTCGCTGTGTCTCTGTGTGTCGCTATGTTTCTGTGTGTTGCTGTGTCTCTGTGTCGCTGTGTCTGTGTGTCGCTGTGTCTCTATGTGTCACTGTGTCTGTGTGTTGCTGTGTCTGTGTGTCTCGGTGTGTCACTGTGTTTGTGTGTCATTGTATTTGTATGTCGCTGTGTGTGTGTCTCTATGTCTGTGTGTGGCTGTGACTCTGTATGTGTTGCTGTGTGTGGCTGTGACTCTGTATGTGTTGCTGTGTGTGGCTGTGACTCTGTACGTGTTGCTGTGTGTGGCTGTGTCACAGTCAGTGTTATTTCAGTGTAACACAAACACTTTTTCAGTGAGCGAATAGTGAACCTGTGGAACAGGCCCCCGAGGGAGACGGCTGAAGCAGGAACGGGACCGGGATGGCCCTTGGTCTTTGTTGGTCTGGCATTTCTTATGTTCTTATGTTGAGTGACGTGTCTAACCCTCTCTCTCTCTCACACTGGGCTGGACAGTCAGTCAGATTGTGTCCCACCTCCTGGTGGCTGAGCCGGAGAAGATCTACGCCATGCCAGACCCCACCGTGCCCGAGAGTGACATCAAAGCCTTGACCACGCTGTGTGACCTGGCCGACAGGGAGCTCGTGGTCACCATTGGCTGGGCCAAGCACATCCCTGGTGAGGAGAAACATCAGCAACCAGACATTCACTCCCTCACTCTGTCTCAGTCCCTCTCTCTGTGCTTCTCTCACTCTCTCTCTAAGTCTCTCTCACACTCTCTCTCTCTCAGTCACTCTCTCTCAGTCACTCTCTCTCTCTGTCACTCTTTCTGTCAGTCACACTCACTCTCTCTCTCTCAGTCACTCTCACTCTTTCTCAATCACTCTCTCTCTCCCTTGCTGTCTCAGTCACTCTCTCTTAGTCACTCTCTCTCTCTCAGTCACTCTCTCTGTCATTCTCTCTCTCTCTCTCCCAGTCACTCTCGCTTTCTCAGTCACTATCTCTCTCTCTCTCTCTCTCTCAGTCACTCTCTCTCAGTCACTCTCTCTCAGTCATTCTTCTCCACAGCACCCTCTCCACTACACTCGACACCCTTGCCTCCCTCACCTCCCGAACTGCCTCCTATTCCCGATCCTCACCCTGGTCCACCAGCCACCTCCGCTCGCTTAAGGGCCAGGTGCAGGCTGCCGAACACACTTAGCTCAAATCCGGCCTAACGGTCCACCGGCACATCTGGCTGGACCTCATCAAGACCTCCCGCTCCGCTCTCGCCTCGGCCAAATCATCCTCCTATTCCAGGTTAATCCAGGAGGCGAAGGGCAACCCCAGGGTCCTGTTCTCCACCACCTCCGCCCTCCCCGCCACGCAGGGCAGACACTGCGAGAAAATGCTGGACTTCGAGTCCAAAATCGAAGGAATCCGCTCAGCTGCCACTGCCCTCCCAACTTCCACCCCCTCCCTACCCCCACCCCACACAATTACCATCCGACAATTACCTATCCCTCCTTCCACACTTTCAAATCTGTCACCCCCTCCTCTATCTTCACCACCATAATCTCCATGAAGTCCACCACCTGCTCCCTGGACCCCATCCCAACCCCTCTTCTTAAATCCCAGCTCCACCTTCTTGCCCCACTACTTGCTGACATCATCAACCCTGTCATCTGGTACTGTTCCTTCCCCCCTTAAAACAGCCACTATTACCCCCACCTTGAAGAAACCTTCCCTTGACCCATCACAGCTATCCAGCTACCAGCCCATCTCAAATCTCCCTTTCCTATCCAAGGTCCTTGAGAGAGCCGTTGCCTCCCAGCTTCGCTCTTTCCTCTCCTCTCATTCCCTCCATGAACCCCTCCAATTGGGTTTCCGTGCTGCCCACAGCACAGAAACTGCTCTGGTCAAGGTCACAAATGACATCCTGACCATGTGTGACCAGGGCTCCCTCTGCCTCCTCGTCCTCCTCTATCTCTCCGCTGCCTTTGACACCGTGGACCACTCAATCCTCCTCCACCGCCTTTCCTCCCACCTCTACCTTCAGGGTTCTGTCCTTGACTGGTTCAGGTCCTAACTTTCTCCAACTGAACGTCAGTAAGACCAAAGCTCTCGTGATTGGCTCACGCCAGCTCCTCCGCACCTCGGGCGTTGGCAGCGTCAGCCTCCCCGGCTGCACACTCAACCTCACTGAGCCAGTCAGGAACCTGGGGGTCTTCTTTGACTCTGAAATGTCCTTTCTCCCCCACATCCGCGCCATGACCGGCACTGCCAACCACCACCTCTGCAACATTGCCAGACTCCGCCACTGCCTCACCCCTCAGGCTGCCCAAACCCTCACCCACACATTCATCATCTCAAGGCTCGACTAAGGGAACTCCCTCCTCATCGGCCTTCCCAACTCCTCCCTTCACAAGCTGCAGATCATCAAAACTCTGCAGCTCGTGTGCTCTCACGCACCAGGGCTCCGTGACCCCACCACCCCCACCCTTGCCCGACTCCACTGGCTCCCGTTCCCTCCGGCTGCTCCATGTCTCCTTCCCGACCTGCACTACCATCGGTGGCCGGGCCTTCAGCCTCTCTGCCCCTACGCTCTGGAACTCCATCCCTCGGTCCCTCCGCCTCGCTTCCTCCCTCGCATCCTTCAAGGCCGGTCTCAAGACCCTTCTCTTCCATCATGCCTTTGGTCTCCCTCTCACCTCTCTGCCTTCCGTCACCCCTACACCACCCCTCCCCTCACGCTCAGGCCCCGACACCTGACTGTTTGGGATGTCCTGCCGATGTGAAAGGCGCTCTATAAATCTCAGTGCAGTGCAGTCACTCTCATTCTCTCTCAGTGACTTTCACTCAGTCACTCTCTGTCACTCTCACTCTCTCTCTCAGTCACTCTCACTCTTAGTTACTCTCACTCTCTCTGTCACTCTCTGTCACTCGCTCTCTCTCAGTCACTCTCTCTCTCTCTCTCAGACACACTCTCTCTCAGTCACTCTCTGTCACACTCTCTCTTTGTCACTCTCTATCTCTCAGTCACACCCTCTCTCTCTTAGTCACTCTCTTTCTCTGTCACTCTCACTCTCTCAGTCACTCTCTCTCAGTCAATCTCACTCTCTCTGTCACTCTCACTCTCTCAGTCACTCTCTCTCAGTCACTCTCACTCTCTTAGTCACTCTCATTCCCTCTCAGTCACTCTCACTCTCTCTCAGTCGCTCTCTCTCTCTCTCTCAGTCACTCTCTGTCTCTCAGTCACTCTCACTCTCTCAGTCACTCTCTCTCAGTCACTCTCACTCTCTCAGTCACTCTCATTCCCTCTCATTCCCTCTCACTCTCTCAGTCACTCACTCTCTCTCAGTCACTCTCTCTCTCTGTCACTCTCTCTCTCTCTCAGTCACTCTCTGTCTCTCAGTCACTCTCACTCTCTGTTACTCTCACTCTCTCCCAGTCACTCTCTCTGTCACTCTCATTCTCTCTCAGTCACTCTCTCTGTCACTCACTCTCTCAGTCACTCTCACCCTTTCTCAGTCACTCTCTCTCTTAGTTACTCTCACTCTCTCTGTCACTCTCTCAGTCACTCGCTCTCTCTCAGTCACTCTCTCTCTCTCTCTCTCTCTCTCTCAGTCACTCTCACTCTCTGTCACACTATCTCTTTGTCACTCTCTATCTCTCAGTCACACCCTCTCTCTCTTAGTCACTCTCTCTCTCTGTCACTCTCACTCTCTCTCGGTGACTCTCTCTCTCAGTCACTCTCACTCTCTCTCTCAGTCACTCAGTCTCCGTCAGTGACTCTCACTCTCTCTCTCTCACTCTCTCAGTCTCTCTCTCACTGTCAGTCTCTCTCTCACTGTCAGTCTCTCTCTCAGTCACTCTCTCTCTCTGTCACTCTCTCTCTCTCAGTCACTCTCTCTGTCTCTCAGTCACTCTCACTCTGTCACACTCTCTCTTTGTCACTCTCTATCTCTTAGTCACACCCTCTCTCTCTTAGTCACTCTCTCTCTCAGTCACTCTCACTCTCTCTCTCAGTCACTCTCACTGTCACTCTCTCAGTCACTCTCTCAGTCACTCACTCTCTCTCAGTGACTCTCACTCTCTCTCTCAGTCTCTCTCTCACTGTCAGTCTCTCTCTCAGTCACTCTCTCTGTCACTCTCACTCTCTCTGTCACTCTCTCTCAGCCACACTCACTCAGTCAGTCACTCTCACTCTCTCTCAGTCACTCTCATTCCCTCTCAGTCACTCTCACTCTCTCTCAGTCATGCTCTCTCTCAGTCACTCTCACTTTCTCTCAGTCACTCTCTCTCAGTTACTCTCACTCTCTCTCTCTCAGTCACTCTCACTCTCTCTCGGTCACTCTCACTCACACTCTCTCAGTCACTCTCACTCACACTCTCTCAGTCACCCTCACTCTTTCTCAATCACTCTCACTCTCTCTCAGTCACTCTCTCTCAGTCACTCTCTCTCTCTGTCACTCTCACTCTCTCTCGGTGACTCTCTCTCTCAGTCACTCTCACTCTCTCTCTCATTCACTCAGTCTCCGTCAGTGACTCTCACTCTCTCTCTCTCACTCTCTCAGTCTCTCTCTCACTGTCAGTCTCTCTCTCACTGTCAGTCTCTCTCTCAGTCACTCTCTCTGTCTCTCAGTCACTCTCACTCTGTCACACTCTCTCTTTGTCACTCTCTATCTCTTAGTCACACCTTCTCTCTCTTAGTCACTCTCTCTCTCAGTCACTCTCACTGTCACTCTCTCAGTCACTCTCTCTCAGTCACTCACTCTCTCTCAGTGACTCTCACTCTCTCTCTCAGTCTCTCTCTCACTGTCAGTCTCTCTCTCAGTCACTCTCTCTCAGTCACTCTCACTCTCTCTGTCACTCTCTCTCAGCCACACTCACTCAGTCAGTCACTCTCACTCTCTTTCAGTCACTCTCATTCCCTCTCAGTCACTCTCACTCTCTCTCAGTCATGCTCTCTCTCAGTCACTCTCACTTTCTCTCAGTCACTCTCTCTCAGTTACTCTCTCTCTCTCTGTCACTCTCACTCTCTCTTGGTCACTCTCACTCACACTCTCTCAGTCACCCTCATTCTTTCTCAATCACTCTCACTCTCTCTCAGTCACTCTCTCTCAGTCACTCTCTCTCAGTTACTCTCACTCTCAGTCACTCTCACTCTCTCGGTCATCTCACCCACTCTCTCTCAGTCACTCTCTCTCTCTCCATCACTCTTTCTCTGAGTCACTCTCACTCTCTCCCTCAGTCACTCTCACTCTCTCTCGGTCACTCTCACTCTCCCTCAGTCACTCTCCCTCTTTCTCAGTCACTCTCACTCTCTCTGTCACTCTCGCTCTCAGTCACTCAGTCTCTCTCAGTGACTCTCATTCTCTCTCAGTCTCTCTCTCAGTCAATCACTCTCACTCTCTCTCAGTCACTCATTCCCTCTCAGTCACTCTCACTCTGTTACTCTCACACTCTCTCTCAATCACTCTCACCCTCTCTCAGTCACTCTCACTCACTCTCTCTGTCACTCTCACTCTCTCTCAGTCACTCTCTCAGTCACTCTCTCTCAGTTACTCTCTCTCAATCACTCTCACTCTCTCTCGGTCACTCTCACTCACTCTCTCAGTCACTCTCACTCACTCTCTCTCAGTCACTCTCTCTCTCTCTCAGTCACTGTCTCTCTGAGTCACGCTCACTCTCTCGCAGTCACTTTCACTGTCTCGGTCACTCTCACTCTCTCTCAGTCACTCTCACTCTCTCTCAGTCACTCTCACTCTTTCTCAGCCACTCTCACTCTCTCTGTCACTCTCACTCTCTCAGCCACTCTCACTCTCTCTGTCACTCTCATTCTCTCAGTCACTCTCTCTCTCTCTCAGTCACTGTCTCTCTGAGTCACGCTCACTCTCTCGCAGTCACTTTCACTGTCTCGGTCACTCTCACTCTCTCTCGGTCACTCTCTCCCCCCCCAGGGTTCCCAGCGCTGTCTCTCGGGGACCAGATGAGTTTGCTCCAGGCGGGTTGGATGGAGCTGCTGCTGCTGGGCGTGGCTTACCGCTCGCTGCCGTACGAGGAGGAGCTCGTTTACGCGGAGGATTACATCCTGGACGTGGAGCGGGCGCGGGTGACGGGGCTGCTGGAGCTGCACGTGTCCATCCGCCAACTGGTCCAGCGCTACAGAGGCTTACAGCTGGAGAGGGAGGAGTTTATCACACTGAAAGCCCTGGCATTGGCCAACTCAGGTACCGCCCCTCCCTGGCCCCTCCCCCTCCCTGACCACGCCCTTCCCTAATCCCTCCCCTCCCTCACCACTCCCCTCCCTGGCCACTCCCCCTCCCTGACCACGCCCTTCCCTAATCCCTCCCCTCCCTCACCACTCCCCTCCCTGGCCACTCCCCCTCCCTACCCACACCCCTTCCCTAATCCCTCCCCTCCCTCACCACTCCCCTCCCTGACCACTCCCCCTCCCTGACCACTCCCCTTCCCTAATCCCTCCCCTCCCTCACCACTCCCCTCCCTGACCACTCCTCCTCCCTGACCACTCCCCTTCCCTAATCCCTCCCCTCCCTCACCACTCCTCTCCCTGGCCACTCCCCCTCCCTGACCACTCCCCTTCCCTAATCCCTCCCCTCCCTCACCACTCCCCTCCCTGGCCACTCCCCCTCCCTACCCACACCCCTTCCCTAATCCCTCCCCTCCCTCACCACTCCCCTCCCTGACCACTCCCCCTCCCTACCCACACCCCTTCCCTAATCCCTCCCCTCCCTCACCACTCCCCTCCCTGACCACTCCCCCTCCCTGACCACTCCCCTTCCCTAATCCCTCCCCTCCCTCACCACTCCCCTCCCTGACCACTCCCCCTCCCTGACCACTCCCCTTCCCTAATCCCTCCCCTCCCTCACCACTCCCCTCCCTGACCACTCCCCCTCCCTGACCACTCCCCTTCCCTAATCCCTCCCCTCCCTCACCACTCCCCTCCCTGGCCACTCCCCCTCCCTACCCACACCCCTTCCCTAATCCCTCCCAGTCCTAAACACTCCCCCATCACCCATAAAACACACTCACAATCCTCACACTCATCCCTATCACTTGGAGAGAGGAGTTTGTTACACTGAAGGCACTAGCACTGGCCCCTCCCCCATCACCCACACCCCATCCCCACCCTGTAAAGTGTAGTGACTGTGTATTTGTTGCCAAGTTCCATGCTGGGAGGAGCCCTGCAATATCAGAGTTCCTTCAGACAAGATGTGAAACCAGTCTGTGCTTGTTCCTGCGGTCTATTAGAAAAGAGAAGGCAGTTTCTCTCTCTCGGTGTCGTGGCTGACAATCCCTCAAATAAAATCACTTTTCACTGCATGGCTGTTTGTGGAATGTTGCTGTGTGCATATTGGCTGCCACGTTCACCCACAAAACACACAGTCACTTCACTCCGCAGCAGTTCTCTGAGAGGCGTTTGAGATGTCTGTTGGGGGCTGAGGCTGATTTGGATTGACGATGAGGGAGCGAGACCGTGTCTGACCAGTGAGTGACGACCAACAACAACAACAAATTACATTTGTACAGCAGCCTTTCACATCAGGAGGACATCCCAAGGGGCTGGACAGTCAGGGATACGCACCTGAGCTGGTGATTGTGATCAGGAGGGGTAGAGGTCGGGGAGCTTGAGGGGTAGGAGAGTGATTGAAAGCACTGTGGAAGGGTCTTGAGACTGGTCTTGAAGGAGGCAAGGGAGGGGGTGAGGCGGAGGGACTGTGGGATGGAGTTCCAGAGGGTGGGGGCAGAGAAGCTGAAGGCCCACCCGCTAATGGTGGGATGGGTGAGGCAGTTACCTGAAGCAGACCGGAGATCGCTGAACAGAGCGAGTGGGCAGGATGGTAGGGGGTTAGGAGGTCGCAGAGGTTGGTGGGAGCAAGACCGTGGAGGGCTTTGAAGGTGAGGACCAGGATCTTGAACTGTATCCTCTGTGTGATGGGGGGAACAGTGGAGTCGGGTGAGGATGGGGGTGATAGGATCACAGAGCCTGATGTGGGAGAGGATATGAGCTGCAGAGTTCTGGATGATCTGTGTGTGTTTTTTGGCAGACGCGGCTCAGATTGAGGATGTGGGGGCTGTGCAGAGACTCCAGGACCTGCTCCACGAGGCGCTGCAGGAGCATGAGGGCGGCCGTCACGCCCAGGGCCCTCGCCGGGCCGGCAAACTGCTCATGACGTTGCCGCTACTGCGGCAGATCAGCACCAAAGCCGTGCAGCACTTCTACAGCGTGAAGCTACAGGGCCATGTTCCCATGCACAAGCTCTTCCTTGAGATGCTGGAGGCCAAGGTCTGAGGGTGACAGACAGCAGCACAGAGACTGGCAATGCTCCCCACCGCGCCCCCACACACACCCACACACACACCCCCCCCACACACACACCCCCCCCACACACACCCACACACCCTTCCCCACACACACACCCACACACACACCCTACCCCCCACACACATACCCACACCTACACCCACACATGCCTGCATACACCCTCCCCCCCAAACACACACCTACACACACACACAGACTCACACAACGCACCCACACACACCTACACACACCCACACACATACACCCACACCTACACACACCCACACACATACACCCATAGCTACATACACCCACACCCTCCCCCACACACACCCACACCCCCCACACACCCACACACCCTCCCCCACACACACACCCACACACACACACCCTCCCCCCACACACACCCACACACACACACACCCTCCGCCCACACACCCTCCCCCCCACACCTACACACACACACAGAGACTCACACAACGCACCCACATGCACCCACACACCTACACACACCCACACACATACACCTACACACACACCCACACACATACACCCATACCTACATACACACACACACACACAAAGCCAATCCACACACCCAACACATACACCCACACCTACACACACAAACCCCCCCCACCACACACACCCTCCCACACATACACCCACACATACATCCACACCTACACACACAACCCACCCCCCCACACATACACCTACACACACACAAACCCACACACAAATACAGTCACACTTACACACATACACAAACCCCCACCTACACACACACCCACCCACACACATACATCCACACCTACACACACAACCCCCCCCACAAACACACACACACACCCACACTCACAGATCCACACACACACACACCACATCCACACACCCACACACAAACCCACACACACATCTACACACACACATCTACGCACACATCCACACACACCCTCACACACACATCCCCCTCCTCACACACCCCACACCCAACCACACCCACCCGCGCACACCCCCACAGACACCTACACACACCCACACAGCCAACATAACAAACCCACATACACACCACACCCTCCCACAGCCCCACCTACACCCACACCCTCCCACAACTCCACCCTCATACACCTACACACACCTTGCCCCTAACCCTACTCCCCCCACCCCACCACCCGTTACCTTCCCCCCACTCTCTACACACACAGGGAACACAGGCCTCAATAGCTCAATGTTAGACTCTAAATATACACACACTGAGACTGACACACACTGACACACACACTGACACACATACTGAAACACTGACACTGACATTGATACACACTGACACACAAACTGACACATGCTCACACACACTGAGACTGACACACATTAAACACACTGGTACACACATGGAGACTGACACACACACTGAGGCTGACACACACACTGACGCACACACTGAGACTGACACACACACTGACGCACACACTGAGACTGACGCACACACTGAGGCTGACAAACACACTGAGGCTGACACACACTGACACACACACTGAGACTGACACACACACTGAGGCTGACAAACACACTGACACACAGAGACTGACACACACACTGACGCACACACTGAGACTGACGCACACACTGAGGCTGACACACACACTGACACACACACTGAGACTGACGCACACACTGAGGCTGACAAACACATTGACACACACACTGAGACTGACACACACACTGAGGCTGACAAACACACTGACACACACACTGAGACTGACACACACACTGAGGCTGACAAACACACTGACACACACACACACTGAGACTGACACACACACTGAGGCTGACAAACACACTGAGGCTGACACACACTGACGCACACACTGAGACTGACACACACACTGAGGCTGACACACACTGACACACACACTGAGACTGACACACACACTGAGGCTGACAAACACACTGACACACACACACACTGAGACTGACACACACACTGAGGCTGACACACACTGACACACACACTGAGACTGACACACACACTGAGGCTGACAAACACACTGACACACTGAGGCTGACACACACACTGACGCACACACTGAGACTGACGCACACACTGAGGCTGACACACACACTGACACACACACTGAGACTGACACACACACTGAGGCTGACAAACACACTGACACACACACACACTGAGACTGACGCACACACTGAGGCTGACAAACACACTGACACACACACTGAGACTGACACACACACTGACACACACTGAAACTGACACACACAGACACACTGAGACACAAACACTGAGATACAAAGACAGCAACACATTCGTAGAGACGCACAGAGATACACACAGAGACAGAAAGAGATAAAATAGAGACAAGGGGTTGGAGCTGAAGAAATGTAAATGGAAGTGTACAGATGTGAGTTTGGTGTGTAAGTCTTGCACAAGATGGTGTGTTCACTGTGTAAATATCATAATTACTGGAGCATATAAAATGTTTAAATTCTCGTGTCCCATGTTCACACATTGAGCATTAAACTGCCTGACCCTCACTCACACCATTGGGTACTGAGCCTGAACCTCCTCTGGTCACTCCCTCACAAACCCACTTGAACCCCAACAAACACCCCTAACCTGGGAGTGTGGACGCACAGTGTAGAGGGAGCTTCACTGTGTCTCTACCCCTGACCTGGGAGTGTGGACGCACAGTGTAGAGGAGCTTCACTGTGTCTCTAACCCTGACCTGGGAGTGTGGACACACAGTGTAGAGGAGCGTTACTGTGTCTCTAACCCTGACCTGGGAGTGTGGACACACAGTGTAGAGGAGCTTCACTGTGTCTCTAACCCTGACCTGGGAGTGTGGACACACAGTGTAGAGGAGCGTTACTGTGTCTCTAACCCTGACCTGGGAGTGTGGACGCACAGTGTAGAGGAGCTTTACTGTGTCTCTAACCCTGACCTGGGATTGTGGATGGACGCAGTGTGGAGGCTGTGAGGAAACTCACCTTCATCAATGCTTATTTTACATAAATTGAAAAGACTAACATTTTAGCTAAAAATGTTGAATATTAATTTCCTGATAAACGCTTTATCTTCTCTTTTTAATTGAAGTTACAGATGTGTTGCTTCTCTTTCCTTTGCTGCATTAATCTAAATCCCTTCTGACGAATTGAAGATAAATGACTCCAATCAATCACAGTCAGATATTATTATAATGTGAGTCTGTGCTGGAGGGGGGGGGGGGGGGCGTGGGGGAAACGAGGGGGGGGGGGCGAGGGAGAGTGGGGGGGCGCTTTGTGACATTTCAACGTCATGATAAAGTACGATATCAAACACAAGGATTATTATTATTATCATAGTTTGGGGCGGGGGCTGTGGCACCTCAGGTCCCCAGTGTTGGGCTACCTCCCTGTTGTGTCACTGGGGACAGAGAGAGAGAGAGACAGCCGTGGGCTGTGGGCAGCGGGGCTGTGTGTGAGGGGCTGGGCTGTGTGACGGGCTGTGTGAGGGGCTGAGGGATGTGTGAGGGGTTGTGTGAAGGGTTGGGATGTGTGTGAGGCGCTGAGCTGTGTGTGATGGGCTGTGTGAGGGGCTGGGCTGTGTGTGAGGGGCTGTGTGTGAGTGGCTGGGATGTAAGGGGTATAAAGGTGACTGGCCGGACAGTGCTCTCTTAGCTCCACACACTGAGAAACCCTGTACACTGGCACCCTCCAGTGGATGTGTGGAGCAGCTGTAGGGGTGGCATACACACACTTGATGAGGGGCAGCACGGTGTGAGGGAGGCACGAGGTGAGGGGGGCACAAGGTGAGGGGGCATGAGGTGAGGGGGGCACAGGTGAGAAGGGCACAGGGTGAGGGGGGCACATGGTAGGGGGGCATGAGGTGAGGGGGGCTCGGGGTGGGGAGACAGGGGCCGTGGGGAAAGTGCACTCAGGGGATCAGGTCGGTGAGTGCTGGAGCTGCTGAAGGGCTGTGTGTGAGTGTGTCGAGATGTGAGGAGCAGGCGGCAAACCCAGTAAATGTGTGATATCGATACCCGCCCACGGCAGCCTTGGTCTGGTCGGGGTCCTGGGATTCCGAGAGTTCTGGGATGTTACCCTGTGTGAGGGGCGCAATATAAATGCAAGTTGTCGTTTTTGTGGTTGTTTGAGTGATGTTTGAGCTGCTCACTGGCATTCGGTTTGTGGGAAGTATTTGAGGTTTGTGTGGTGAAGGGAATTCCATGTTTGGTGACTAACGTGAGGACTGGGACAATGGGATGAAACAGATTGAAACGAGCTTCAGGTGACAGATTCACATGGTCCTGTTTGGAAGTTGACCATTTCACTATAATTATAGGTTTCAGTAATTTATCTGATGTAAAAGGTGAGGTGGTCACTGTGGCCGCACAAATCTTTCCGGGCTGTGCAGCAACTACAGCAACAGTGACCACTTCTCAGCCTTTTGGCTAAGATCAAGTGCAGTTCCTGTTCACATCAGTTCACATTACTCCTTGAGCTAACAACATGGGGAATGTTCATCTCCTGTTGAGATTGTCTCGTGTTGTCACCAGGATCCAACCTGACTCCGAACTGGACATGGGAAGGACTCAGCTCTTGGCTACAGATAGGTTGTCCTCCCTCTGTTGGTTAGGGTCGGCATTGCAGGAGTGTGATCTGCCCTCACAAAGAAAGGGGAGGCACTCAAACCACTTGAGCCCCTGGTCACAAGGTTCAGGCCGGGCCAGGCCGGGCTTGCCCTGGAAGAGAGGTCATAGAATTATACAGCACAGAAGGAGGCCATTCGGCCCATCGTGTCTGTGCCGCTCTTTGAAAACAGCTTCCAAATCAACCCCACTTCCCCGCTCTCTCCCCATAGCCCTGATCAACCCCACTCCCCCGCTCTCTCCCCATAGCCCTGATCAACCCTACTCCCCCGCTCTCTCCCCATAGCCCTGATCAACCCCACTCCCCCGCTCTCTCCCCATAGCCCTGATCAACCCCACTCCCCCGCTCTC